CAGAAAGAAGGTTGAAAACTATTGCCTCTTTCAATCTGACTCTCATAAAACCCTGTGATGTATTATAACATTGGCTACATTTTACCTCTTAGGGACACTTTGAAATGTGAGTGAAATAAGTTATATCAAGTCACAAGTATGATGTCTGGCACAATGCAGATGAATAAATGTCAGTTTTCTTCCCTTCTCCTCCTTTTCATTTTACAAATGAGGCACAAACGGGATAAGAGACGCTAAACGTCACAGGAGCGTGTATCAGAGCCTGATCTTGCCTTCTTGTCCTGTGTTGTTTTGACTCTCTCGGGCCTCGATTAGCTCATTTTACACTATTGGAACCTCAGTGCCTTATCTAGGTAATCCTAACTTATAGGGCTACCTAGGGATCAAATGAGACAAAATTTGTGAAATTTCCTTGCAAACTACAGCATTTTATCCTCAAGTGAGTTATCATCATCCTTACTTTCTTCTGTCAAACTCCATCCCTTTGGTTTCTTGACTTCTCTTTTTGTCTGGCTGCCTTGGCTTTCTGACCTTTTCTGCTAGAGTACAGGGATGTGTGACTTTATCAGCTCATCCCTCAGTCTGGCTTCCTTATCTCTGCCCTCAGTGAGCCCGGCTGGGTGGCATTTTCCCCTCTTGCTGACTTTGGCTGCCCTTTCTGGAGACTTTCCTTATAGCCAATTCCTGGCCTGCCTGCTCCCCAGCCTGTCTGAGCTCAGAGTAACAATGACTCCCCGTGCTCTGAATCACTCCTGACTTCCCTCCTTTTTGTTTACTGTCCCAAAGACCTATTCCTGAGCCCGGTGAGTGGTTAAATGATTAATTAACTCATTAAAAATTCTGTAGCGTCTGACAAGAAATAGAGGGGTTATACGTGTATATCTAGGAATGTTTATATTTTAAGAAAACACCCAGAGACACAATGTTTGTCATGGGGTTTATGAGGTAGTGGAGAAAGCGTGTGAGGAGGGGGGCCATGGCTGGGCTTGGGCAGAGGTCGACCACGTGGGAGCCCAGCTCGGTGTGTACCAGAGGCAGGCAGCATTCACTCCTTCTAAAGGTCTTCTCTCCCCTTTCTATGTAGATACTGTCAATTAGTCATTTAGGTCAACAAATTCTCCCTTTGGAAATCCAATAGTCCTCTGGTCATTTCCACCTTACTGTGAATTACCAAAAGATCCACGACACCCTGACACTTGCCTGAGATAAATGTCTTTGTGAACAGCATTTTTATGTGTGAGTTCCAGGATACAACAGAAGGGTCACTTTAGAGCATGGGACATTTTTGGAGGAAAGGAGGACCTAGTCCACGTACAGCCGTGAGGGATCTGAGCCATTAGAGTGTAGCATGCAGGACCGGGGGTGGAATGCTGAGAGCTGGTAGAGAGACTCCCAGGACAACCCTGACCCATGCATGCTGCTATGTTACTTTTGCTGATTTTAGTCAGGGAGGCACCACAAGTCACACTGACCTACCTTATTGTCTTGGCCCCACTAATTCCTTCATGTGGAGGCTCTGGGTATCCATCTCCTCTTAGTATACTTTGGTATAAAAACTTTGATAAGAATATCGCGTATGGTAGATGTTAGACTCTTAGGCTTAATAGTTAAACTGGGTTCAAATCATAGCCATGTTCCTGAAATTATAGTCCTGTCATTTCACAGGGCTTGGGGGAAGGTGAAAGGGGTCAATGCATCTGGCACATAAGAAACACTCAGTAAGTGCAAACTCTTATTATTTCCAGTAATCTTCCTCACTAGTTGTATGCGACGCTGTGCTGTTTCTTAACCCTTTGTTCTTCTCATCAGCGAAGTTATGATGATAAAGGTCAACTCATGAGTTCCTTGTGAGGAACAGACGAGAAAACACACAGCGTTGACTGTGGTGAATGAAAGTGAGTTGCGTTATTGGCTGCTGCTGCTGTTTCCTGGCTGAGGGAGAATGTGGGCAAATACCAGCAGAGGCCTCTTCTTCAGCAATGAGCAAGATAAAGTCATAGGTCCTCGTATGGGTAGATCAGCAGCCAAGGTTTAGGGGAACTCAAATGTCCTACCCATTCCTCCATCCCTTCCACGACAGATTCTCAGTGTTCTGTGCATTTCTCTTTTGGGCCAGATGCAAAGAGTGAGTGACACACCATACCTCAGCCCCCACTGGAGTGTTCATTGGAGCAATTAGGTGACACTCAGGGCAATAGAGAATCAAGGGAAAGACAGGAAGCTGAGAATTAGAAAACATCTGAGCCTCGGCGCATTTCCTACCACGCAACCAATGTCTTGTCAAATACCTGGCGAGCTGCACCAGCTCTGGATAGAATTCTTCAACAGGTAAGGTATGCCTTACCTTCAGGCTAACGTGGTTGGTCTCATTGGTCTCCAGAGGAAAGATGTTTTCAGAAGGAATGTGGGACCATTTTTTCTGACGTTCATTTTCTTTTTTATATTTTCTGTGAAAGGAATAGAATCAGTCAATAGGTTTTTATTAGTGTTCATGCAATTCAGCTGGGAGAAATTTAGAACACTGATATTCTCGGGTAGATACGTGGTGAGTAAGGCTAGTTCAATGGTGTAACTCTGTGTTCTCCAATCTGATGGGTGCTGGCAATGAGTGGACTTGCAAGGATTTCTGATGGCCTTTTATATTCTTTTTTTTCTCCTTTTTGTTTCACTTTCTCAGGTCTTTCACTAAGGCAGTCAGTTCTTCATTGTAATAAAGAATCTGAACTGATAACATGAAAAGAGTGAGGGGGGAAAAAAGGAGACAAAAATGTTTAAACTGATAACCTTGAAAGACAAAAATGTTAATTTTTAAACCACTAGAGAATACACCAGATTCCTAAATAAGTCAGTTCCTCTAATGCATCTTTGCCTTAAAAAAAATATGTATAAAGGAGGGCTGGCCAAGTGACGCATTGGTTAAGAACTGGCTTGGGACGCCAGAGGGCCCTGGTTTGGATCCCACATATGAGGGCCAGTGACACTGCCCTCTACAGCTAAGATGCTGAACACAGCTCAACCTGGAGCTGGGCTGCCGTGAGTCGCCGGTGACAGCGTAGGCTGCAGCCCTTGCTGCAGTGGGTTGCCATGGGCTACCGTGTGTAGCCAGCAGCCAGTGTGAGCGGCCAGCAGCCGCTGTGAGTGGCTGTCCAGAAGCCGGCGACTGATCTGCCTCACCCGGGAAGAGAGCAATGATGGTGCCAACTTGGGCCAGTGAAGCAACGTCCTCCACAACTAGACTGAAGAACAAAACGACAGCAACTTGTCTGTTCCCCTTCTCCCAATTCCCCAGCGCTGTTCCCATCCCCCAATTCCCCAATAAAAATCTTAAAAATATATATATATATATATATGTATAAAGGAAATACAAAAGCACAGAGAAATTGTAACAACATACATTCCATATTCAAAAAGCCAAAATTTTGCAATTGTTTCCCCCAGAAAGTAGGAATAAAATAGAATTCTTGGGTTGTAGAAAATGCACACGTTCAAATTTACAGATATTGCCAAATTTCTTCCCAAAGTACCCTCCCATCATGAGAATTCCTGTTTTCTCCATATTCTTAACAACATTTGGTATTGTTAAACGTGTTTTAAACCATTATGATGTGTGTGAAATGATACTTAATTGTTGCTTTGCACTTTATTTTCTTGATTACTAGGGAGATTAGGTATCTTTTCATATATTTTCTAGCTATTTTATAGAATGTATACAATTACATAGAATTGTCTATTCATAATTGTGCCTGTTTTTTTCTATTGCATTGTCTTTTCCTTATTAACTTATGTGAGTTCCTTATATAGTCTGCAAAACAAATCTGTTGTCCTGTTATGTGTTAGAAATACCTTCTTCTAGTTTGTTTACTCTAACTTTGTTGTATATGTTATTATAGCCATGGTTATATCATTTGCTTTTATAACTTTTCTTTTTTATCTTGACTGAGAAATATTTCCAAACCTGAGATCACAAAGTCATTTTCTATTCATTTCTTCTGAGCTTTGAAGTTTGGTTTTCACCTTTAGGTCCTTATCTATTTAAAACTTCCTATGGAATGGATTTCATCTTTGTATATGGTTTCAGGTAGGGTTTTAATTTCATTTTTTCATGTTGAAAGCTTGCTGACCAACATCATTTCCCACATGACTTGTAATGTCAACCTCTATCATATTCCAAGTTCTCATGCTTGCTTGTGTCTGATTCTAGAATCTATATTCTTTTTCATAGACCTATTTGTATGTCCATGAGTTTACCTTTGCTTGTGGTCATTTGACAAGCCCCTACTCACCTTCTCAAGGTTGTTCATGATGCCTTTCTTAAAGTCCCTTAAGCGGAAATGATTATTCCCTTTCTAAGCTTCCATCTAACTCTGAGTCATCCTCTATTAAATACATATAAAATAACGCATTATTGACCAATACTTAGGACCCTAAGACCTGGAGGAAGGTAGGGTGACTGTTAAGGCCTTGAAGGCTCCCAGACTTTCATCTCTGTACCTCAGAAAACTCTTGGTACCCAATAGAGCCAACTGTCATTTATACTGAATTAGAGGGTGCCATAATCGTTCGTTACTTTTCTTATATAGGCCATTGTAATGGAAAACCACAAGAGTAGCATCTGTCTCCCAGATCTCATGGACGCACTATTGCTCTGGACATTAGGAAGCCCTATCTCTGCCTCCCATGCTTAGAGAAAATGGAAAATGCCCATTTCCACCTGTTATCCTCTCTTACCTTGTGATTTACCCTATCTTGAGCTAATACTCATTTTGACTTTGTTTCTAGATCACATCTGTGACTCTAATATTGTCTGGCTTTACTGTCCCAAAATTTTGGTTTCTGCTCACCCTCAACTAAGTGGTCATCACCACACAATATAGATCATCTTCTATATTTCTAAGCAACACTGAATTATAAGAGCCTTCAGACTGAAGAGAATAACCTACTCCCTTTCCTGGAGATAACTTCCACTGACATGCAGCAGGCTGGACACTCACTATGAGAAAGTGTAGTGACATAGACCAAAGCATGTGATATATAGAGAAAGTTGTTGTCTGGTGTGGTTAGGAAATGGGAATGATCCTGATAATATAATAGGATAGAAGGTTCTGTGTGTTTAACAAACAGAGTTAGGAGGTAGTGTAGTATTCTTTAATTCATTTATATCTTCAACAAATACTTCTGAGCATACACTGTGCTAGGCACTTCATATGTCCAAGTCGAGTAGAAGAATCATAGAACTGATGGTCAGGAGGCCTGAGTTCTAGTTTGGCCCAACATACTACCTAGGGATGTGATTCCAGACTAGCCCTTTGGCTTCCTGGGCCTCTCTTTCCCCATGCTAATAGGAAGTTTGGAGTAGATGATTTCTAAAGCCTCTTCCAGCCTAAATATTATGCAATATAGAGACTTTGAAATTGTCCACACTATACCAATAAAGCAGCAAAAATAACTATTTCCACTTATAAAATAGCTATTATATGGTAGTTACTATACATACCTTATTTCAACTCCTTACAATAAGCAGTTCAGAGGATGATACTAAAGCCAAGTAACATGCTTAAGTTGCTAAGTCATAAGCTTAAGACCATACAACTGGTAAGTTTCAGAACTGAGATTTGAGTTCGGGCAGCTCTGATTTCAAAGCTCTAATCTATCCACTCAGTAGTATTCTGCCCTTGATATCATCTTTGATGCAGAATGCCTTCATGGGCTGAGATCTGTCTAGAGGCCTCTTTGTGAACACACATTATCATCAACAGACATGAGGCCTCTCCCTCTCTCCCTCCTTCCCTCCCTCTCTGAATAATGAGCACCTCAGGACTGAGGGGATGGTAGTCACCTCAACACCAGGAGAGCAATAAGCAGCAGCAGGGCCATGGTTCCTGCAAGGGTGAAGACTGCAATCATCAGGACTTGAGGTCCTGGGTCTGAAAAGACAGTGAAGAAATGCATTAGTAAAGAAAGACAGTAGTTATATAACATAATTTGAGGAAGGGGAAAGGGGGAGAACTTTTCAAAAATATTTCTCCTTTATTCACCTCTTCATGGAAAATGTAGGTCCTGTGTCCTTGGTCTCTGAAGAAAACTGTGTGGAAAGTGCCCAGGGGAAGTGGTTTAATTTCATCTATCTTTATAGTCTATACGTCTCATTTCTTTCTTATGGGAATTGCCCAGTGTTACAGGACATAAAATAGCTTTCAGCACACAAATAATTTTGGTGGTAGAAGCCTACCTCATGTCTTTGAAACCAATATGCCTAAGGTGAATTAATAGAGAGAAAAAGAGACAAGTGTTTTTTAAAACAGGGCATAGATCAGAAGAAAAGTAAGTCAGTGTTGGAATGCTAAATTACAGTGTTGCCTGCAGGTCCGTTTCAAGCTCTACTAGGTCATTGCAGGAGGTCAATGAAGAATGTCAGTGATTTTATCTATTAGAACACTAGTATGTGGCTGCAGTTTTGTAGATGGGGAATTTGAGAGACTTACAGAAGAGTAAGTGAATCCAGGAAAATGTGGATCCAACCCAAAGAAACATTGAAACAGAATCTGAGTATGCAGAGGAATAAGCCTAGGCTGAGAAGGACAACAGTACAAGGAACTCACGGTTCATTTAAGCCACAATGGGTCTCTATTAGACTAGGAAGTTAGTGGGCTCAAGAAAAAAAAAAATGGAATGAATTCCAAGCAATAAACAGAGGGTGTAAGAAGCTGGAAGACAATAGTAATATGGTGAAATGTTTCTTCTTATAGAAAAAAATAAGAGATCCAATAAGAAATTCTAGGGCAGGCCGAGTGGCTCAGTTGGTTAAGAGTTGGCTAAAGAGCGTGAGCTCTGAGCAACAGGGCCACTGGTTCAAGTCTCACATGGGCCGGTGACGCTGCACCCGAGCTGAGCTGCCGCTGAGCTGCCAACAGGTGGCAGGATGGCTCTGCTGGTATAACAACAAGATTGCCTGTTTGATGGTGGGCTATGCCCACCCGCAACTAAGACTGAACTTGGCACCTTGAACTTATCTGCCACCCGGATGGCTCAGTGAATATAGCACATGCTCTTAACAACAAAGCTGCTGGTTCGACTCTCGCATGGGATGGTGGCTACACCCACCCGCAACTAAGATTGAACACAGCACCTTGAGCTTAGAGGCCACGAGCTGCCAACGGGAAGCCAGATGGTGACTGGTGCCCTCTACAATGAAGATTGAAGAACAACAACTTGGCTGGTCCCCTTCCCCAATTCCCCAACACTGTTCCCCTCCCCCAACTCCCCAATAAAATCTTAAAAAAAAAAAAGAAAAGAAAAGAAATTCTAGGGTTAAATGTTCAAGGAAGGCATAATCTAAAAATGAAACAAAGTAATGTTTTGCCTCATTTTGAGGATTAGGAAGATTTTTTAAAAGTGTTTTTGGGGGTGGTGGCTGGTACAAAGAGATGTTGGAGTTATACAGAAAAAAATGTTATGGCATGCTATTTAGCTTCATATAAATAATAATAGTGAAAATGTTTACTAGTTTCCAACTGAGAGAATCAACTTATAGGTAAATGACAGAGAGCTTCATTATGGTTACTAAACAAATATTATCAGCCCTGACCAAAAAAAAAAAATACAGAAGAATTTGGGAGCTGGGAAGGAGGTAGAAGGAAAGATAGGGACACTAACATCTTCATCTTACAGTATTGGGAAGCAGGAAGTTTCATATATAGTTGATTGAACAATACTAGAATCTCATGCATATTAATTAAAATTACAAAGTACCCAATGAATGTGCTGACAAAAAGAGATAATTTAATCAAGATGAAGTTAGAGAAAAGTAGCATTAGTGAAGATGAACTAAATTTCCATTTAACCATACAAAAAATAAATAGATAATATCTAAAGCTTATAAATCAAGAAATGTCCAAATATGATTTAGAAATATGCAAAGAACTGAGAGACTAGGGATTCACAGAGGCAGGACCAGGCCCACTCACTTTCTATTATGAATATTTCCACCATTGGATTTTAAATCATATGCATAAATTTTTCTTCACTAAAAATATAATTAATAAAGTTGCCTCTGGAGAGACAAGAGATTTCAGGCCCTCCTTATTAAAGTAGCATCTCTGGGTAAAAAGGGATTAAGAAGTACAAATTGGTAGTTACAAAATAGTCATGGGGATGTAAAATATAGCATAAAAAATATAGTCAATCTTATTGTAATAACTATGCATGATGTCAGAAGTGTACTAGATTTATCAAGATGAGCAATTTATAAGTTATATAAATGTCTAATTACTATGTTGTACACTTGAAATTAATATAATGTTGTACATCAATTTTAATTGAAAGATAAACAAATTATTGAATAAAATAAAAAGATTTCAATACATTTTTTTTTTTAGCTGAGCCATCCTGCCACCTGTTGGCAGCTCAGTGGAAGCTCAGTTCAGGCTGGGAATCAAACCACTGTTGCTCAGAGCTTGCACTCTTGAGCGAGCTCTTAACCAACTGAGCCACTCGGCCGGCCCTCAATAAATTTTTAATCTAGCATTTTTAATTGTTTTAGGAGTGTGATTCAAGATATTTAGCTCAACATGTTCTTGGAAATGGAGTTCTAGCAATATTCTCTTTAAGAGATTACTAAAGGCAGAAACCATGTACAAGTATGAATAAAATGAATACAATGCAAGGCACATTATAGTAGCTATTCAGCTCTCCTCAAGGTATCTCCCTTATTCCTTCTCCCTTCACATCCATATCACCCTTCACTCTCAGATTAATTCATTTCACAAATATTTGTTAAATGCCTGCCTTAACCATGATACTAAGTGCTAGAAGATTCAGGTAAGATAGCATTTCCTCCGGAAACAACAAAACAAAACAACAACAAAAGCTGTAGCACCTCAACGCGTAACACTGTTCTCTCTCATGGCATCAAAATATAGACCTTTGAGGGTATGGTCCATGCCTGGTCATCATGGTATCTTTAGCACCCAGCACAAGACCTGGTCCCTGGTAATGTATCAATAAATAATGGTTGAATACATAAATGCTTGAATAAAAATTTGGCCCTGCTCATGTCACTGTCTGAGATGAGGCAAGGGAAAAATGCCCAAATGTTAATAGGTTTATATTTTAAAAAATCACCTCTTGTGCCTTTAGACTTATCTCACATGTCACATGTACTTTTAAACTGTGTTTCATCACATTATGTCCTTCTAATGAACTAATCATTTTTTATTGAGGTAGAGGGTTTAGCTTGGGGTTTAATACTGTAACACCTTTCTATTAGGGGTTAACTGGAAAGATTCATGCTTTGCTAACATATGATTTTTCCTCTGCTTAGTATCTTGTTTTCTGCTAAGGTGAAACTTTTAACAGTGAAAGCATGAGCTCTGGATTTCTATTCTCATTAGGGCAGAAATAAATTAGTAGCTTGGAGTTAAAAGCATTACTAGCACTGTGGGTACATCTGACTTTGATCAAGTCTGTTTATTACCATAATCACCATTTCCATCACCACGACCATTGCTATTACCACCACTCTCATACCCCCAACCCCACACAGAACACAAAAGTGAGCATGAGAAATGCAGTTTCAACAAGGCAGGTGATTCTACTCATCAGTCTTCTAAAAGTACACATCCCCTAGGCTAGAGCATGAATTGAAGGGAATATGGGGGACTCCTATCAGTGGGTCCTCAGCCCATCTCAGTTCCTATCTGCTTCCCACAGTGTGAACATCTCACTGCTCTAAATATAATTATGGTATTTAAATATACCATATACTATCTAAATATAGTGATTTTTAATTCAGCATAGTTTTTAGCTTTGCTTATTAGATAAGTCACAGGCCCAAATTAGTTCTAAGGTTAAGCTTCTGCTGCCTTCTGGTGGCTGCTGTGGTTATCACATTCTATTTAACGTGGATTCACAATGAATGCAGATTGAGTTGATAACCCCAAGGTCAAATGACATGATGATTAGAAAGAATCTTGGGATCAGTTAACAAATCTCCTGAATTAACAGAGGAAGATACTCATTCTTAGAGAAGTAAATTGAGTAAAATTAACACTGCATAGATTCCTTCCTTCCTTCCTTCCTTCCTTCCTTCCTTCCTTCCTTCCTTCCTTCCTTTCTTCCTTCCTTCTTTCCTTCCTCCCTTCCTTCCTTCCTTTCTTCCAGGGCACTGTATTGGGGCAAGAAGATATAAATAAAGAATGGACCGTAAACATATAGTGTATGGTATAAAAAGATGTGTAAACAAATAAGTGGGATATAACTACTATGCTAGAATTCTGGCGGGATAAGGGCAAGACCAATAATCTCCTGAGCTGCTAAGACAAAGCTTAGGAAAGGTGAATGCCAAGTTAAATACTGAGAATGAGTGGTTGTTTACCTGTTGCATAGGGGCGTGATAAATTTTAGTCAGGGGGAGGAGTATCAATAAGGATACAGGGGCATGAAGTTAGAAGTACCTTTCTTTAAGGAAGTAAGAAGAAGCTGAGAGAGTGGGGAAGGGATTTCAGGAAAGATGAAAAGGCTGGAGATGTAGGAAGATTGTGAACATTTTGTGCTATAATAAGCCACTTGGACTTTATTCTGTAGGAAAAGTGGTGCTGCCAAATGAAGTGTTAGCAACAGTGCGGCAATCTGAATGGGACCATGCTGTCATTCTGGTGGCAGTGCTGTGGGGATTGGA